GTGCAAATGCATGTCTGTGCACCCATTCAGTTTGGGAGGGTGGGGACATGTTGTTTTCAGCCAGTAAGTTTGTGGCAATTTGTTACACAGCAATAGAAAACTAATACTAATAAGCACTTTGTCTTCCCCAACACATTGATATCAGACTACCCAGCTCTTCCCTTCCTATCACTTTTCTCAAAAGTCTACCTACATGTTGATTTCATGACCATCTATAATGAAATTTCTTTTATTCAACCAGTTCCAGAGTCACCATTAATAATTACTCAACAGATGCTGAAGATCTTTTGATGATGTCTGATGAACATAACAACCATTTATACTTTACATTTTAGATTAATCATGGCACTATAATATTTAGAGAGCTGGTAAGACTTAGTACAGCCAGAGCATAAATTTACACATAAATTTGCTCTTCCACAATCTAGCAAAGCCTCAAACATGAATCATCTACCAAGGCATATAACATAGAAAGCATGGCACAGTCATTTCACTGTTCTTTTTTTCTTGCATAAATCTCATCTGCATAAAAGGTATAGGATGGCAAATCTGACATTTTTTTATGATCTCTTTCCTGTGTCCCAGTATCTGAACTGGGAAGCTATTTCCAGTGAAAGGAGCAGAGAGTAATTTTTAAGTCTGTTTAGTGTAAGAATGCAATAGAGGTCAATAGAGATGTGACCATTGTCGTCAGGGGTAAAATCACTCATCAAGAGCTATTACATGAGAATGGTTGGCCACAAGTCAAAAAGAAGCTGAATCAATCCTTGACACAGCAGAGAAAAGGTTTTCCATTATCTTCTTATCATCTTCTGCACAAACTGCTCTGTTTTTGTGGGCTTAAATTTTAATAAATAACTTCCTGGTTACCTTTTAAAATCCAAGACTGTGGTACATGCCAGCTTTCAGTTAAAAGCATTCATAATTTTCCTTCTTTTAAAAAAAATCTTCACCAACAAGAACTATTAACTAACAATGGTTGGCTTTGGATGGGTGTAAATTAGAAAACACAGTCACTTCATACCATCTTTTAAATTTTTTTTCACACAAAAATAACTACTTTCTCTTTAAAAAACTTATAAAACAAAGAAAAGCATTTCAAGAGTTTTTTAGTTCGCCAGTGATCACCACTGAAACATTCTAATGTTGTTTTACCTATTTTTTTCTATCACTATTTTATTACTTTTATAATCAGAAGGAAAATATTTTAAGTAAAAATTCACCTAAGTAAGCATTTCAAGAGTTTTTTAGTTCGCCAGTGATCACCACTGAAACATTCTAATGTTGTTTTCCCTATTTTTTTCTATCACTATTTTATTACTTTTATAATCAGAAGGAAAATATTTTAAGTAAAAATTCACCTAAGCAAAATCTGATAATTTTGTCCTGTGTAACATCCTGTAGTAAGAAAAGAGCACCTGTGGCCAAGCTATTCATTTGACCTTGGGTAAGCAAGATAATCTCCCTCTGTTGCCTGTCAAATATGGAAGCAGATGATCTTTAATACAAAGGGTATTTCCACTCCCCACTCAAATAGTCTATGAGTATGAGACATGAGAGTTTTCAAAAATTTTCCATAGGTCATTCTGGAAAGATGTCTGTAGCAGCCTGGTTTTTAAAATCTTTCTGAATTCCCACATAAAATTAAACAGAGCACCTACACTGTGAAACCAAAAGCTTGGAGACAAGGTATGCCACTGCACATCAAAATGTAAGCTGGTAAAGACAAACCAGCACCATCCATAAGATCTGAGGGGCATCTTTGTGGGCAGAATCAGAGGGAAATAACAAGGTAATGAATCTAAGAACTGGAAACCCCCCAAAACCCAATAGGTATTCACAGGAAAGTGGGGATGGCCAATTAGAGAACAGCAGATAAAACTAGGAGGGGTTTTGCCTGATCCAAGAGTGAGTGTGTGCAGTAAGATCTGAGGAGGTGGAAGCAGTCTAGTTCCTATGAACATTCAAGACTGGCCTCCAAGCTCCTTTCCAGGAGGAGGAATGGCTGGGAATAGGACCAAAATTGAACAGGACTGGGATAATAAAGACAAAGGAAATAAAAGATGCAGATAAAAGTAGGTGGAAGGCGCAGAGCCAGGAAGTGTCAGAAAGCAGACTGCCATACTTTTGATTATGAAAAACAACAACAGAAAGCTAGGCTCTATGAACTTAAAAAAAAAAAGCCATATTAAATTCTGCCTCCTAAAAGTTCAAGGTAACTATTTTTTTCATGAGAAAATGAAAAACAGAAAAATACTGAGGTGAAACCCCAAGCAATACTGTAAGAAAAAAATAAAATAGAATAACATCCATACAAATTATGAAAGGATGCCACAAAATAGACAACAACAAAAATCCCAAACATAGCCCAATATTTCAGAATAAATGAAAAGACTTTAGGAAAATGACATGAGACATAAAAAAACATAATTCAGAATTAGAAAAATTCAGAAGGTAACAGTACACAGAAAAAAATTAGAAATAAAATAAAAATGTATTTCAGAAATGAAGACTACACTAGAAGGCACAAAAGAAGGAATAGTAACAACATATATTATCCCAAGAGAAACAAAAGATGTAAAACAGAAAAAAATTTAAAAAGAGAGAAATATAAAGGATTTGAGATAGCAACAGATATTAAAGACAGGCAAAGATGATCTAACATACAAATAATGGGAGTCCTTGAAAATCAAAGCAAGGGAAAAAGCTAATATTAAACCATGTGATTTTTAAAAAAACTTCCCTGAAATTAAAAAAAAAAAGATTTCAAAATATAATCAAAAGAATACACAGCAAACCTGAGAATATCAAGATAGAATGATTAAGATGAGGACTGACTCTAGTAAAATTACTAGATGGATGGATGGACGGAAGGAAGGAAGGAAGGAAAGAAGATAGGAAGGAAGGAAGGAAAGAAGATAGGAAGGAAGGAAGGAATCCATCCTTTGGATATCTAGAGTAAGTGAGTGTCTTTTAATGGAAAGAGAGATTATCATCAGACTTTGACAGCAAAGAAAATAGAGCAGTATATTCAAGGAAAGAAAAGATGAGCCAACCATTTTATATCCAGCAAAATGCCTTTCAAATATGAGGGCAGAGACACACTGTTGTCAACATGCAAGAACTCTGGGGAAATTATTCTCATAAGTCCACACTGAGGAATCTACTAGATAATAAGCTTCAGAAAAAGTAATTAATTAAAAACAGAGGGATACTGACATAAGAACTATGGTGGACATTAAACATGTTAAACATATAGCTACTTGTAGAAGACTAAAACAGTGACTGAAAGGGAGAGTGTAAGATGCCATGGCCATAGGGTCAGGCAGCATTGATATATAACAACTGCAAAAAGCTGGGTAAATTAGGAGAGCATAGTGGGGGAAAAAATTTAAACTCTTTTCAGTAACTATATTGGTTACAGTAGCATTAATACTACTTCTCTGAGACTGGTTGTATATAATGTGGGATAAAGCAAATGAGTAATTATGAAATATTCTAATTCTATGATTCCCTGCAACCTTAAGAACTGGGATTTTTAGTGTGAAAGAAAAAAAATACAGATAAAAATACAGAAGTTAAGTAAAAATACCCTGTAGTATGAATTTGAATTGGAGGCATTAATATAAATTTCTAAGGTATTTTATCTTAAATTTTATATATACATATGTACATACATATGTATATAAGTAAATAAATAATTTCCTGGTTCTGTCTGCAAAAGATGCCTAAAAACAATGAACCTAGAAGCATACTAAAATCCAAATATGTTTAAATTCATAATAACATTTCTGAAAAATAAGTGGGCACATTCAGAGGATCATAGGGAATCAATTCATCATCTTGAAAAATGTTAAATAAATGGAAAAAACTCAAGTGTTTTTTTCTGATTTTCTCCTTTGAAATATACCATTGTTTCAACAAATAGCAGATCATGGAAAATGTCTTTAAAAAGCATTCCAATTAATAGCTGAGAAATGATAGAACTATAACATCATGATTTTATAAGTCCTAAAGAAATAACAAACCTAGGCACTGAATATCAACAGTTATTAACATCACAGTAAGAAACAACCAGGCATTATGTACCTCCTGGTGGAAAAACAAACACCCGTTATGGTCTTGCCCAAGGGACAGGACAAGAATCTGACTGAACCTCTGGATGCAGCTGTCAATTTGCAGGAAATACAGGGAACAGAGGAACATGTTCAACTGCACCATAAGTGTGCAATCAGCAACATCTAGACAGTGGGAAACTCTATAGGTCAAATAGCCAAGTTTAACAGATAAAAAGCAAAGAATGAAGGAAAACCTGTAGATTAAGAAATTTGATGGAAACATTTTTTAAACAGGCAAGACTAAAACTGTATTGCCTAGGGATGTGAATGAGTAATAAAATAAGCAGGAAACACTACTATAAAAGTCTTGGTAGTGGTTACCTTTGTGGGAGGAGAAAGTGTGGAGATTGGGAACAGACACAAGTGGGGGCTTCTGGCATGGCTGAGCAAATTCTATTTCTTGACTTGACCAGTGATTATAAGAATGTGCTATGGACTGAATATTTGTGTCCCTCCCTCCCCCAAATTCATAGGTTGAATTCTAATTCTGTGGTCTTTAGGAGGTAATTAGGTCATAAAGGTAATTAGGCCATAAATCCCCATCATGAATGGGATTAATGCCCTAAGAAGAGAGAGGAGAGATGATCCTGCTCTCTTTGCCACTTGAAGACATAATGAGAAGGTGGCCATTTGCAAACCAGGAAGAGAGCCCTCAACAGGAACCAAATCAGCATGCACCTTGATCTTGGACTTCCAGCCTCCAAAACTAATGTTTGTTGTTTAAGCCACCCAGTCTATGATATCTGTTATAGTAGCCAGAGCAGACCAAGACAGAATGGTTGCTCATTAAGTTGTAATTTGTTTTGTGGGAATTTCTATATCTGTTTTATCTTAAAACAAAAAAGTTAAGAAAAACAAACAAAACCTTTCTGGATCCCTTACCTGTGCCTTGGCCAATTTCTTTTCCAGGAGGTCACGTTCACGTTCTGTTTGCTGCAGACGTTTATTAAGCTCGACTATATCTCCTTTTAGCGAAGCCAGGGCTGCTAAATGGAGCTGTGGCGACAGAAGGGAGCACAAGGTTAAACTGCTTCAGCAGAAACTCATTTCCTTCCCTTCATTCCCCGTAATTAGTATAACCACATAAAAATGTATCATCCGAAAAGGGACACTTTTAAGAATGAAAGTCAGTGCTATTAATCTCAGGGGACAAGGAACATAAATCAGGTGTGTTACAGGCAAGCTAGGTTATATAGTTGCCCTAAATATAACAGGCAGAAAACTGTCAAGTGTGGGCAGTGGGACCTAATTTTGGAATGGTTCAATCAGGCTAGAGAGGCAAAACTCCTCATTCCCTAAGTTACTCAGTAAGGATGATGTTAAGAGCTGGTGGCAGCTGCCTGACTCCCAAGGTGAGAGGCAAGGAAATGTCAGAATCAAATTAACTTTTACTTTTGGAAAATATGAAAGTTGAATGGGGCAATTCAGTTTTTTGCAAGTCAATCACCCAAATTGTTGCATATACAACAGATATGTCACATACAACAGACATTGGCTGAGAATTAAGAAAAAAAGTGAGGAGAGCTCATTTTTTCAGATGGTGTCCTCTTAAAGTTGGCTTATATATTTTCTTGCCGGTTCCTCTTCTTCACTGCCCCCCAGACAGACTGCACTGATCAGACCGACACTTCTTCTGTACCAGCAGGCCCTCTCTCAGGACCAGAACCAGAACTCTGATAAAGTACACTGTGAGAAGACCCATCAAGAATCTATCCAGTATCTTTCTTCCAGCCAATATCCTCAGGTTAATCAGAGGGAGAAAGAATGTTCTTCAACAGATTAACAAGGCACCATGCACTTTCAGGACCTCAAGCTGTTCAGTTTTCAAGTTCTGAAGACCACTGTAGCTGCATACGCACCTACCACACACGTGCCTTCTGTGGCTTTTCATGAGACTAGTTTTAAGATGAGTTCGACACACTGATCCCAGAGCAACACCGTGAAACCTCCCTTGCCCTCCCCTCGCCTCTCATCTGCCGTCACTGCCCATTCTAGATGGAGCTCAGACATTTCCTCGCTGAATTCCATATTACATTTGGGTGAGTGACTGGAATCAAAACAAACCCTCCCCCTTTATGGGGTTTGTGTAGCTTTTGCCAAGAAGGATTTAATTAAAGTAAGAAGTGAGCAAATAAGTTTGATCTTTAAAGATGGACACAGTATACTGGGTACACAATTTGACTTTGACGATTTTCATTTTGTGTTTAGAAAATTCCTCTTTCCTGCAACCTGCCCCTCCAGACTGCATGTAGGCTAACATGTTGGGTGGGGGTGGGGGTGGAGCGATGAGTAAGGGAGAAGGAGATACAGGGCAGGGAGTGGGGTTTCACAGCAGTTGTTGTTAGACTCTTAGACTCAACAGTAGTGAATGTGACTTCACTTAATTGCATCAGGGCTGCAAAGCAACAGATCAATAGCCGATCTGAAATCAGGAATGCTTGAAATTTATAAAAGGAAATGTCAGGCTATCTGGCAGTGTTTGCCTTCTCATGTGGGGCTAGGGCTGCTCAGAAAACGTCATTTTGGGTTTCAAATACAAGGTTTTGTGTGATGATTTCTCAGCACAAATGCCACAGTGTTCCTGCTGTACAATCCTTTTGAGACGGCTTTGTTTCAAGCACGGTGGAGAGGGACACAACTTCACTCCCTTCAACAGCTGGGTTGCCTCCTCAGCCTCTGAACTGTCAGTCTGAGGATTTTCCTTCAGCATCAGACACTGGGACATGTTACACTATTATATCAAGTCGTGGGAGAAAATTCACCACCTCACCTCTGGCAAGAAGGATAGAATACACTGAGAGCTAAAATGTTCTTTAAGAAATACAGGAGTGGGCTCTTCTGGGAATGGTATCTAGACGCACTCAGAGTGGTTCAGCATGTGACACACCGCTGTAGGCTTTCCTACAATACAGCCTCTAACAAAACTAGGCTGTCCCAAGCCCCTGGTAATAAAATCCTTTACCTTTGTACCAAGAAGGTTGGGAAAGCACCAAAATCTGCATGAGGCGTGTGCCATGGCAGACTTTGAGGGGTTCGTGCTGTGAGACCTAAAGTTCTCATGTCAGCAGGGACTATGGTGGTTCCATGTGTGTTCAATGTGTCTGTGACGGTATCAAGTGTGCTTTCCTTATTGAGGAGCAGAAAGTCATTGTGAGAGTGTTGAAGGCACAAGCGCAGAGTCAGAGAGCTCAATGAAAAATGAACCTTTGAGTGCTAAAAAAAAAAATCAAAAGGAGATAAAAGAAAAACATATACCAACTATGTAACCCTAGACTGGCTTCCTTCCTTGTAACATCTCCCCTCCTACTTTTGGGAGAAAAGGCTGCTAAAGAGGATGGGGAGGATTAGGGGGGAAAGTGGATAGAGAACGCTGCATACTCCCCTGCAGACTTCATGGCCTGGGCCAGATGGGGAGACACACTGAGTAGTTATTTCCATCATAGACACGGCAGAGGGGTTTGTGATAAGTCACCACCACGAGCTTGGTGCTGATCTTACCATCTGGTCCACCAGCTCTCCAGATCACCAGGGACAGCAACAGGACGTGCCCTGGGAACAGGTCCCTTCACTTCCCTGGGTGGAAGATGTCTATCAACAATATGAGAATAGACCAGTTCTTATCCTCTTCAGGTCACAGATTTCCTTAAGAACCTCATGAATGCAATGGACCCTTCTTTTCCCAGAGAAGCGTATGAATTTAAGGTAGATGCACATTTCCATCCAATTATGCTAATGACACACTCTGAAATCAACCTATGAGCCATCAAATTAAGAAATATTTGGGTTAGATGTCAGCTCTGTGACCACCTGTAAGTTCTGCAGACTGTCTCATGTGTCAGTCATAAATGTCTGGATGGAGAAAAGGCCCTTGGTGCCTTATGTCCCCACTTGTACACTTGCAGGTGAGCATCTGAAGCCCAGAGACTGACTCTCCTACTCAAGGTCCCATGGACAGTGCAGCCACCACAACCAAGGCCACAGCACCCTTTTCTGACTGTACGATGTTGTACATGACAGTAATTTTCAGTTTTTCACATGGATGAAAACTTTACTTAAAATGTTTTGTCTGATTATAAAAGTAGTGAAAATGTGACAAGAAAAATAACCTGGAAAGAACATTCTAATGTTTTAGTGGTGGGATCCGAGTGGTTTAAAACTTTTTGGGGGATACTTTTTGTTTAATACATTTTTCCATAAGAGAAAGAGGAGGTTATTTTTATATTAAAGAAACAACAAAATAGAGTTAAGTGACTGTGTTTTCCGCACACGTAGGCTGTAGCATAAAAGTTGTAAAGGGTTATTTTCCTTCCTTGCTATGTTGTCCTTCTCTGTCCAACAGCTCTTCTGATAGAAGGTAAAACTTAAAAAATGAGGCAGAGTAAAATATGTTCCTTAATGTCACTGACAACTCCTCAGCAGAGGCTACCACTATAGAGGCAGGAGATGGAGCGGAGGTAGACGTTGCCAACAAGCCGTAGGCCCTGCTGCTGAGAATCTGGTTGGCAGACCACTCCCTGACTCCTGAGGAGTGCACAGGAGATGAGTTGAGATCCCACCACGAGAATGAGTGCTGGACACAATCCCTGTGAATTTGAATTCAGCAGCTCTTCTGGTCTCACCTTATCTCTTACTCAGTAATCAAAAGCTAACTTGACCTCCCTTCTTTTGGGGTTTCACCCCCCTCACTCTGGCAGAGCTGGTAGTATCCCTGCAAATTCAACATCTAGTGCATTCACAAGTGATGCCACGTGTAGTGTGAAGGAGCATGAAAAATAAGATGTATAGAGGTTATTTTGGGTAATTTTTAAGGGACTGACTGTATTTTTAAATTCTGAAAAGATAAATTTACCAAGCAACCAAAACTGTCAAATATCTATAAACAGGAAATTACATTTATACCAATTTGGGGGATCCCTTTGATCATATTCTGGTTTCTGAAATGGCCTCTAACTTGGATCAGAGCTTCAGAACATATGAAGTATGAAAACATCTTATAAGAAGATGTTTTATGAACTGAAGAGAAAAAAATATATATGATGTTTGGAGTCTGTGCTAGTATCTTCCTCAACACATATTTCTCTTCACGCCCAGGAGTAAAATCCTGATTTTTAGCTGGTCATATTGCTGCCCAGCTAAAATATCCCAGGTCCCGGGCTCCCATGCAGTTGAAGCTAGGTGCACATGTGATGATGTTCGGGCCAATGATATGTAAGCAGAAATATTGCATGGGAGGTATGGGAACATCTTTCTGAGAGATGTCATACCCTTTTTCTCTTTCTCCATCCTTGTTGTTTGGTACCTTATGTGACAGATGGAGCTTGTAAAGTAAGGCAAATCATAACTAAAGCCAAAATGTTTCATTATTTTAGTTATACTAAGTTTTCATTTATGTTGTCAGAGCTAGGGCTCAGACTCTCCAAACCCATTGTACAGACTGGGTCACCAGATCCCTCACATGCTAGGCTGGGTCCCTAGACCCCTCATATGCAGGTCCATGCTAGGTAATTGGGAAAGATTCCAGGAGCTGTTGGCAGATAACATGAGCTCAGTCCTCAGCTTCCTCAGCAGCAGCAGTTTACAGGTCCTGCAGTGGCAGTTGCCTTGCAGAGAGGGCCCTGGGGCACTAGCAGCAGCAGCCTCCAGCAGCAGTAGTGTCCTCCCCATGCCCCCCCATGGGGGGGCATCCTAGGACTAGGAGGCACTGTGGATCAGAGCCACTCATACTTAAGTCCATAACCCAGGACACCTGGGTGCACATGTGCAATTACACTAGACGATAACCAAGAACACCCAAGCGCATATGCCTGTTTACATCAAATGCTCAGCAAGATTCTGAACATCTGAGGAGCCCTGACCATTTTTCCTGTATTTTCCCAACAGAGCTCTAGAAGCCATCTTGCACGATAAAGATGGGATCCACACCCCAGGGAGCTGAAAAATGCCAGAGTCCTTAACAACTGTGTGGAGCCACCCCACCAGCTTTGGACTGCCGAGCCCCACACTTCAGTTATAGAATAGCAAGAAACAGACCTCTGTTGTATAAAGCACTCTATATTCAGATCTTTTGGCAAATCAAGCTCATCTAATCCTAATTCACACAGAATCAGATAAAACTGGGTTCAAGTCTCATTTATGACACCTGTTGGTGGATTGTCTTTGGACAATTTATTTAATCCCTTTGTTATAGGGTTATTGTAAAGATAAAATGAGATAGCATCCATAAATTGACCAGGATGGTGTCTGGAACCAGGTAAGCCTCAAAAATGTGCATTTGCTCTTTAGCAGCCAAGTTTTAAGTCAGGAATAACTGACCACCTTCTCAGACTAAGCCCCATCACAGGTGCTGAGAGGGACACTCAGAAGAGCACAACAGTCCTGTCCTGGAGAACCTTCTTGCCTGGATATCAGCACAGGACTAAGATGCCAGTATGTGATTTGCCTGATTCTGCTGAAGTTCTAAGGTTTATCTTAAAGGGCTGACTGCCAAGGCTCTTAATTCTCTGTGAAATTTTAACATGAGGCCTAAGCAAGGTTGGAATGCGACCTTGACACATCCTATACAAATTTGGGTCTAGTGCGTGAAGGATATAAATCCCTACATACTTCACATTTCTGGGGATACAACCCCCCCCCCCCCAAAAACCCCTAAGCAGTTTTGAGCCCTGCTTCAAGTTCATTTTACAGTGTGTATCCAAATGAAACTAAACCACCTGGACACTTGGCTGCAAGCTGTCAAAATGGTTATTTTTGGATGCAACATTACTTGAGTAAAATTTCACTGTTCAACTGGCATTAAGGACAGGCCCGCTTAGCCTCTGAAAGATAAAGTGTCCAGCCCTCAAGGCCCAGGTGACAAGTGAGCAGTGCCCTCGTGACAGCCTCTCCCAGTGGTTTCTCTGTTGCTAAGTGGATAGATGTCTATCCTGTTACATATCTGCGATGAGACAAAAGGCTTCACACTTCATAAGATGCCCTTGGAACCCAGCAGCCCAACAACTCTGATGAGAGCCGCTCAGGAGCATCACTGTGTATTTACGGTTATAAGGTACCTCTCCATTTGCTACTACTGGCAATAAAACTAGCAAGCACATGTGGACTAGCGGCTGGACACAGCATTCTCCTGTGCATCATCTCATTTGATCATCACCATCACACCCTAGCACTGTGGCCTAAAGGGAAGCTATGATTCCTGAGACAATCATAACCCAGACCCAGGCACTAGCGGGCACCTCATGGTACCCACAGCCGAGCCAGTCTTCCCTGCTTTGCTGGGAGGTGAGCTCATCCAGGATAAACTGTGCTTGTTCTCTTTCTTTCTTCTCACTTGATCTGGCTATCTGAAGGGCTCGTGTACGTGGGGCCATTCATTGCCAGGGTGCCTGTATTTCCCTCCCCCTAAGTGATGATAGGGATTACTATTCTGCCCTTCTAGCGGAGCTACTTGCCCTCCACATAAAATGAACACACAATTTCTGCTTATGTGATGACAACATGTATTGGCAGCTTCTGTCACCCAGTGACCTCTTTGTTGAGGGGGAAGAAGCACAGTTAAACTTCACTGAATGTGCACTCTTAGCAGGTTCTGCACTCTGTGCTCCACATGCTTTACCTAATTCTATCAGCTACAGAGTCCTGCAGAGGAAAGGCAAGGTCAAATCCCAATGCCAACCTCTGGGAATAGTCTGAGAATTCCAGGCAAGTGGATAGTAACAACGGAAGTAATAA